GCCTGCCACAGGAAATGCTTGCCTGCCTGCCGCTCCGCTCTGCTCTGCTCTGGTCCTTATGTGGGATACATTTCCTGCCTGGTTTCCACTGGCTCCTCCCCAGCACAGCCGTGTTCTCGAATGCATTTTAAAGTTGCAACCAACATAACCATTCATAACTGTGCAACAACAGCCACAACAAAGTTTTTAGACCCAAAAAAAAGAAAATAACCTTTGAGTAGAACTTGAGAATGGACATTGGACCTTTTGGGTACCCTCAAATGGGGCAGAAATTACTAGGAAAGGCGAGACTTTTTGCATGCTGGTGGACTTGGGCTCCTTGTCTCTTTCAATTTAGATGAGAGCCCCTTTTATGCTATACGAGCTACGAAGGGTCCAAAATAGGGGTACCCAAAACGATTGGATCTCTCAATTGAATCGATCTTTATTATTCATTCATTATAATTAATAATAATGAAAGAAATTCCAAAATAAGGGCTTCCGCTCGAACCGCTCGACAGATCGATGGGTCATCGTAAAGATCCACCATTAAGAGCTTTATTCTGCCAAGGAATCATCGGTTCCCTTGCCAAGGTTTTGTCATAACATCCTTATCCTTATCCTTAGCCTTATCGTTATGCCAGTCAATAATGAGACTTTGATTCGCCTCATAAAACGGACAGCAGAAGACTCTTCTGTGAGTCTTGGCCTGGATATGCCCCCCACTTGCCCATCCCCCGCACACTTATGTACATATTCTGCTCTTGTTTTTCCATGCTGCAACAGCTGCCACCATTTTGGTTACTTTTTCTGTTGCCGCTACCGCTGCCACCGTTGCCACTGCTGCTGCTGCTGTTGACGTTTATGCAAATTTTGTTGTTATTTTTTGTGTGTCACCAACAAAAAGAAAAAAATGGAAAAACATTAATGGAAATCTGGAAAAAGCCTCTGGTGGAAGGAAGGCTCAGCAATCGATAAATGTAAATTCCTGCAGTGAAAAGTGGAGAGCCTTCCGCCAGGAGAAGGAGTCCCAGGTCCTTTGCTTACATGTGAGAGAGATGTCCCTTTTTGTGGGTGATTTTCATTACATTTAATTTAATTTAATTAAATTTGTAAATTATGAATCTCAGAACTCAAGAAGAGAGACTTTCCATCAGGGGAAGGGAAAGGGGCAAGTAGGAGAAGGCGCATCTAAGGGACATCTAAATCATTGCCATGATAAGGGCAACGGGCTACGGGCTAGGGGCTACGGGCTACTGCTCCATTTACGTATATCCTGGGAAAACTTTGTCCTGTTGCGTAACTCGAAAGTAATTAAATTGAAACAGAGTTCAAAATGCGCACACAAAAGCCGGAAACTCCAAAGCCATATAGGGTGGGGGGAGGGGGCACACGCAGGGGCGTGGCATGCAACAGCACATATGTACACAGCAGTGTCTGCGTGGGATTTGTCCGGGCAGAAGTCAAGTGTTCCAGCAGCAGCAAAAGTGTTGAAGGCAAAATGGGAAATGGGACGAGGGACGAGGGCCAGGGCGAGGACTGGCAGCATGTTGACAGCCATAGTATTTCCCCCCCCTGCTCTCCTGGAGGGAGCTGGACTGCCGACACCCGACTACCGACTACCGACTCCGACTCCCCCTTACAATATGGAGCTATATGCAGTTATGATGATTGTTGATTTAGAGTTTTTAGTTTTTAGCCCCTTGCCAGATGGTTGTTGGGGGGATTTGTGTGTAGCATGCAATTAATTTTGTTGCCCGAACTTCAAAGGAGTTGCAAGAGCCGCCCTCTGGACAGGCAGCGACAACGATGATGACAACTGGCACTGGCTGCTGCTGGCTGCTGCTCCTGATCAATGAGGGCTCTTTGATGCAGTGGTGCCGCCCCCATTGGCTTCCATCCCCCTGGGGCTTTGGTCTGACAGCAGTGCTAATGGAGGAGAAGGTCCCAATCCCCCAATCCCCCAATGCCGCAATCCCCATACCAATAGCCGGCCCAAAAACCAATTCGAACTCTTTCTGTTCCGTTCCCATAGTATCTGTAACGTGAGACCCTTGGAATGTCACTAATTCTTTCCATCCACTCCACTGCGGAGCCTCTTCCTCTTCCCTCCTGTTGTTCCCTGCCTGTGGCCTGTGGTTGGGCCGCCTGTCAATGCGAGAGGACTTCACTTGACTCCGCTGCTCTGCTCTGCTCTGCCCTGCGCTGCGATGCGATGCTCTTCTTGCGGTTGACATTCGCGACGAGGCCTGTCATCCTATGGCCTCTCCTCTGCTGGTTAGCAACTCTGTTCATCTGTCGCCGCTTGCTCCATTCCTATTCTGATTCCCATTCTGATTGCCATTCTGCCAGTCCCATTCCCAGCTAACTCGGAAACCCCACAGCCTCCGGGGCCGCCCTGGGACAAGTGTGGCTTTGATGGGCGACGCGGCCGATTCGGACTTTCCGCTTGATAAGATTGACAATGAAACGGACTGAGAATGGGTTAGATATCTTTTGTGGTATGCAGATCTGATACAGATGTGTTACCAAAAAAGAAACCATAAGAATGTCCTAAGGGAAACTTGGAAAACGGGAAAAGACACCCATATTCAAAGAAAAATATTTGCTTTTTTGTATACAAACAGAATTTAACAGAATAGAATTTAATATTTATTTAATATATTTAAGAATATTTAATCCAAATATAAAATATAAAAAAATCAATATATACTATGTTTAATTTACAAAAAATATATATTTAACAAATATTTAATTGAAATATTAATTTTGTTTATTATTCAAATATGAAATAAACTCATATTTAAATCAAAACACCTTCTGTTAATGATTTTCACTCTCGGTGAGTATCTTTTGGTATCAATTTTGGAATCTGTAAAATTTTTATAATGTAAACACATTTCAGGGCTTGGATTTAGTAAGGATAACTAAGGATAGGCGGGTTGGACTCTTCTGTAAGGTATTTAAGGGAAGATTTGTCTGATGGAATTTCTGTCCTTCCTTTGAATGTTTTTCCTCCTAAGAAAACATGATATATTCCACATTTAATTAACCCGACGAGTCTCATTGAATTCTCTCTGTGTCTCTTAAATCTCAGCTGTGGCCAAAAGCAGGCCCTAATCAAATCACACGCACCACAATTGAGAGAGGCAGAAGCTGAGATTGCGGTCTGGTATGGGCCCCTGCTCTGGGAATGGAATGCCACCGCGCGTCATGTGGCATGTCAATTGTGGCCTACGGCTAGATATCACATTTCCAATGTCTAACCAAAAATATGCGCATAAAAAAGAAACGAAACCAAAAGCGTAGTGCATCCATCCAATGCCCAGTCCACCCCTGGGCCCTTTGTATCTCTCCTTCGAGCTCTCGAACCCTTGAGCCATCGCTCGGCATATGTGCATAATTACACTTTTATTAACAGGCAAGCGGCAGCCAGGAGAAGTCAAAGTGAAATTCTGCCACCCACAAGTCACCCACTTGCCACACACATCCCCCCTTTTCCACCCTCTCTTGGCTCCGCTTTCCCTTGCTTTCCATTCCATTCCTTTCCGCTATTCTCTTTGTCTACGTGCCTGGACTGTTGAATGCAAACAGGTGCCACTGAGCCCCTGACTGGAGCTGAAGCTGGAGCTGGCATGGCAGCCTTTCGCTTCCTGCCACCCTGCCACCCTACCTTCGTGAAGCCTGCATCCGCGGCACATCCTCAGAGACACTTGAGCCGCACTCGGCTTAAATGAAGTGCACACGCCGCCATGCACATCAAAAGCGGGGCCGACATTAGCCGCAGCGCGCAGTCAACTAATTAGACACGCCCCTTGCCCCTGCATCCATTTGAAACCATAATTAACGTTAACTGTTCTTTCTCTCTCTCTCTCTCTTCATTTCTAACTCTCATGCCCTCTCGCAGACACTCTCTATGGCTCTCTCTCTCTGTCTAGATTAGCATACCATTAAATATATTATTTGTATTTGTTCAGAGCTGAAGAACTGTTTAAATAAAGATGTGCATTAAATATATTAATTTTATGGCACTCATACCCCAAAAAATTCGTACTAAAAAGATAGGGAGGTGTCGTAGCATACGATGGCCTTTCACAAATAGCATAAATAAATAAATTCCATAGCATTTTAGGAATATCTTTAGAGATACATATATCGATGGATATCTGATAATTTTAATTTTATAAGCTTTAACTTCAGTAGAGTTTTAAATAATTCGAAATTAAGTTATTGTTTTAATTAATTTAAATTTAATTTAATTTAATTTTTAATAGGTATCATCTTTGGCCTGAGATTTATAAACAGAGATCACCAATAAGATTAATAATTAATAATAAAAATTAAAGTCGAAAAAAGTCAGCAAATTATTTTTGTAATAAATTCTTGAATAGCTTATATTTTTATTTGGTATATTGTTATTTTGAAAATCGAAAATATTTATATATTTTGTATTATGTTCCTTATGCGCCGCTACTGGTATTGAAGCCGATGACTGCCGCATTCTCTCTCTTTCTATCTCTCCATCTCTTTCTCTTTGGTATCGCTGTTCGAAAAAGTGACGATCTCTCCGCATTCTCTCGGAATATAAACCTGAAGGCCCGGCTATAAGGATTCGGCTGTTGATGCTTTTAGTTTTTAATTCCGGCAATGTTTTCTAATGCATTGGAAAAAGTAATAGATCCGATCCGCATCATGCAATTCTCAAATGAAACCCTCGATTTTTCGTTTGAATTTGTATATATTAATAAATTATTATCCTGGTTAATGTTTATTAAAATAAAAATTAGAAATAAGAGTTGTTTCTGATTTCAAAGAAAAATTATTTTAAAAAACATAATAGTCCCCAGAAAATCCTTGACTAAGAAAAAAACGTTTGTCTCAAGCTGCGATTAACTCATGTTTTATTCAACAATATTTATATGCGCTTCTTAATAGCGAATCGTATCGTATTTTAAAGTATACTAAAACAATGAAAAATACAAATAAAAAATCTACAATTAGTAAACGTTCTAAAAAACTTCTGCAACCATAAATTTGCCATCAAAAAAAGGACCCATTTAAGCTCTGAGAAATTCTGTTTAGAGACATTTAGGACATATCTTGCTCAATATATAGTATACATCTTGGGCTGAATTGTCTGCAGTTAAACTGCAATTGTTTATACACTTTCAAGCTTTTCGGTTTGTCATCAAATGGTTTTTACATACATACATGTATGCACATACATATATTGCTCAGTCTTCTAAATCGAAGTTTTTAAGGGGGGGAGGTATTGTGACAAAGGGGGGTACTAGGTAATAGGTAATATCATCAACAGACATCAAATTAAATATACTCGAATATCTCTTGGGGTTTTAAAAACTATTTACATAAACAGTACAACTTGGCCGAAAAAAATAAACCAAAGCTCCACGGACATTAACAACAAATCACGCCTAAGCCTAGTCCCTAAACGGTAGAGTTAATATGTATGCATTTTATAAGATATAGTTTTAGTTTCTGTTCTGACTATGAAAACCTTCGTTCTGTGTTGTCATCTTGTGATGCTTGTTGTCGATTGCTCAAATCGGAGTTTGAGTATATCTGCTGCTGTTGCTGCTGTTGATTAACATACAGCTGCAACGGCGATGGTACATGCCCCAGGAGTTGCACCACCGCTGGCGGTGGTGGTGTCATATCCAACGGTGTGGTCGATGCTGTTGTTGGCGGTGTCGTGTTGGAGCTGAAGCTGGACGAGCTGGAGCGTGCCGAAAGGGACTGGGCCGAGCGAGTGCGTCTCAGGGGCTCTGCTGGAGTGCCTCCTGGTTCGCCATAGCTATGAACCCTGCCCACTACTTTCAGGGTGGAACGATAGGGCGGCTGCTGATCCTGGCACGCTTCGCTGTAGTACGACTTGCGTAGGATGCAAGAAATAACCAAAAACGGAATAGTCAGAATACCAACAAAGCCGATTGTAATGATCACGAGCACATCCAGGCCCTCCAGACGCCAGTAATTAAGAGTATTTGCATGGGACTTGAGGAAATCCGCGCCACCCGAGTCCAGAATGAGCTCAATTTGGCCAACGGCCAGAGAGGATGGCGAGGGACCACCAAGACGTTTCCTTAGTTTGACTAAACTTTCCGAATAGCTGGTGTTCAGTGTTAGTTGCCGGATGCCGTGCAGCAGGGCATCATAGGCTATGGCATCGTAGTTGACCGTCAGCGAGACTCCATTCAGCTGCAGACGCTTGGCCATCACCTCCTGTTCGGCCAGTATGGGTATGGCCAGAATGGGCGTCTCGCCCATAACGGATTCCCATACGCTCAACTGGCCGCAGCTGCTGATGAACAGCTTGACCAGCGTGTGCGACAATATCGCCTGCTGGGGCCACCAATTGGCAATCATCACATTCTCCGGCAGCTCCAGACTCGATACAAAATCCTCGTTTTCCCACTTTAGCACGAAATGGAACTCCTTGAGGTGACCGAAAACATCCATGAATATGGCCAACTTTTCGCTGGGCAACTGCGCTGTCTGGACATCGGCACCGAGACTCATGTAGATGCAACCCCCCGCAGCAGACTCCATAAACGACAGGAGATGCTGGAATTGAGAAATTAAGAGATTAGCAAAATGAATTGATGGTAAATATCCCTGGCTTACGTTCGGCAATGGGCGTAGGTCCGTGCGAGCCGTCAAGTGGAGGCCACCCACCTCCACCATATTGGGCAAATAGGCACGCGGATAGTTTAGGCCCGGATGAGAGTTTATCAGAGCCAAACTGAGATTCTTCGTTAGATCCCGATACAGCGGCAGTTCCTGCACCAGCATCTCAAAGTGTTTCGAGTAGACCGTCTGCTGGGAGATCAAATGAAAGAAGCTAGGAGAAGAGCGAGGATTACTGCAGGCTCTCAGTGTGGATAGGATAGCATGACACTTACTTGTAGGTTAGACGCTCGAAAGTGCTCATGAGGCTATTGACGATCCGCTGTTGGGTATTCATGCGCTCTGTGAAGGGTAGAAAGTTGCTTGGATCCAGGGACGACGATTGGGGATTGCCGAACATGTTGTTTAGCCAGGAATTGGCACCGGTGGGACTGATTGCAACGGTGGGTATGCCATAGTAGTAGGCCAGGCTGTCATAAAGGATGCAAAGGATCATCAATCAAGGGGTTCTGCTGCTTCTGGTTCAGCTATTACTCACCCCAAGAGGGCATCGCTTAGAAACAAATCAACAATCAATAGATCAAACTGCTCGCCGCTGGTTAGCAGCTTCCGCACCTGCTGATCCGACAGCAACAAATCCACATTGGTAGTGCCCGCATAAATGAGCCGCGTGAAACGTTCCATCACACTCTGCGACCGCATCTGTTCCGGCTCAAAGCTCATGCCCATACCCACCCAGTTCTCCTTGAGCCCCTCAATGCGTATTTCCCTGATGTTTGGCAGTTCTGCATCCACTCCACCCGCCTCCAAGGCATGCGGACTGATCAGAGTGATCGAATGATTCCGCGGACTGGCCACCAGCTCCTGCAGCAGTCGTCGGCCAAAAAGATAGTGCGACTTCCAGACACTGGGCAGCACGGCCAGGATGTTGGCACAGGAGATGGCGCCGCAGAGCAGCGACAGGGCCATCAACAGCTGCAGCAAACGCATTTTTTGTGTGCGTGTGGCCTTAGGGCAATGTCCACATACGCATACGCCTCCACATTCGCATTCGCATCCGCGTACGTGTGCTTGTCCTTCACTTGGAAGCAGTTGATGCTTTTCCGGTTTTGCACAAACGCACACACACACACAGCTGGCTCCTCCTCCCTCTCTCCTGGCGCTGTGGGGCGTCTATTATTATCTGTTGCTGCTGCCGTTTGTCATCAACATCATTGCAGCATTGCACAATACCACCCAATGCTCTATTTAAACAAAAAAAAATTGCACCAAAACAACACGCGAAAGTGAAAGGGCCACAACCAGTGTGCTATACCAACAAAAATACGTGATTAGCCCACTTAAGCCCCCTTTATTTAAACAGGATAACAACTCGAGTTTAACCGCGGAAAATAGTACTAATAATATTAACAATAATTACTCTTAAGGGTCTATTCTATCCTTTGCCTTTACTGAAGCAAAAGACCATGATATCTTTCCCCTGATCTGCGCTAAAATTCTTCAAGATTCATAATTCTCGCGGAGTGTATAATAATACCCACCGGTCGATATGGGTTAAGTGTTCTCTGCCCATGATTGGAAATCATATTCCTCGATTTTGATGTTCGGTTGAGTAAAGCCAGCTACCTAGGACCCCCAGCCCTGAACACAAAATTTATTCCGATTGATGAATTGATTGAGTTTTTAGAGTGTTTCTAGATAAGGCTTAAACAAATAAGTCAACAAAACTGCAAATTTGTTTACATGGTAACTACACATATGGATTAAGCCTGCTGGCAGTGAATGGCAAATCTAAGGGTGGCTTGCCTTCTTTCGTTCATTCAATGAACTAGCTCGTTCTGTTAGTATGTTCTTATTTTTGGTGCATGGCCGTTTTAGTTCTCAGTGCATTTTTGTCCGCTAGATTCTATGTTACGCGATTATTATTACATCTAGATTTATTTATTAGATTTGTTAGCTGGAAAAATAGCAAACAGAATCGAACTAGGGAACATAAAATAACGAACAGAAAGGAGCGGTTCCGATGAACTTTTTCAGTTCGTTCACTACAGAGAAAAGCTCGTTCATGAACAACCCAACAACACTATTGTAAACAATTTGAAAATGGTCTTTGTTGTTTAAATTTGTTTCGCTGCTCTTGAAAAGCAATTGAGTAATAAATCAGTGCTAAATTGGGTTAAATTTGTTGCTCTGCCCAATGGTTGTATTGTCGCACCGGTAACAAGCAGACAAGCAAAAAAAATTTGCATTTTTGGATGGATGCCAAAAAACTTTGAACCGCATTAGACAGCAGAAAAGCGAAAAGAACAGCTGGCAGCTTGCACGGAGCACGCACCTGGGCAGGCGGATTTGATTCATTCAGTTGATAGCAACAGCCCCAACCCTGAGTACACAGAGCCAGTGCTCAGGTAAAGCGCAATCGTAAAACAGCAACAAGCAAGAAGCAAGAAGTGGGAGAAAAAACCGCCGGCTTACGTAAGCCACTTGCAAAAAGTCGAACCTCTTGAAAATGTCTCAGGAATTAAGTAAGTTAAGAATTACATATGTATATGGTATAGTAAACATCTAACACATATGGTGATAGCCCTTATCGATGTGGACAAGCCGCTGTACGACCTGACGACCTTCGCTGGCCGCTTCAAGTACTATGCCTGGATGACAGATCCCCGGACAGTGGTCCAGCCCAGTGAACGGCTGCTGGAGGCCAAGGAAATGATTGAGAAGTATCGCCGGGAGCCGGGCCAGGCGCAGTCCCTGGGGCCAGGGAAAGCGCTGGAGGATGTCCATTACAACATGAAGTTGTATAGCTCGGCCTTCCATCCCGACACAGGGGAGCTGCAGAACTTTTGTGGTCGCATGAGTTTTCAGGCAAGTCTCGTGATGTGTCCGGCCCCAAAAATAGCAAAACCACTGACGTCGTGAATGAGTTGCCAAAAAACATAAAAAAAGAAAGGGGAAAGAAGGAGAAACGAATGTGTAATAGCTTAGCGGAGTCCTCCTCTCACGCTGTCGATTATGTAGTATTTGTCTATCATTGTTTAGGTTCCTGGCGGCATGTTGATCACTGGCGGAATGCTGGCCTTCTATCGGACTGTGCCCGCGGTGGTGCTCTGGCAGTTTATCAATCAGTCCTTCAACGCGGTCGTCAACTATACAAATCGCAATGCCAATTCCCCCACCAGCGTTACGCAGCTTGGCGTGGCCTATGTGTCGGCTACAACCTCAGCCTTGATTGCTGCCATTGGATGCAAGAACTACTGGTCGAAGAAGGCGACTCCTCTGTTCCAGCGATTTGTACCATTCGCTGCTGTGGCAGCCGCAAACTGTGTCAACATTCCGCTAATGCGACAGAACGAGATACTCAGAGGCGTGGAGGTGAAGAACTCGGAGGGTGAGATTGTGGGCCAGAGTCGTCTGGCTGCCATCAAGGGTATTAGCGAGGTGGTCATATCACGGATAGCCATGGCAGCGCCCGGGATGCTGGTACTGCCTTTGATCATGGAGCGATTGGAAAAGCTGCCCGCCTACAGCCGCATCAAATGGATAAATGCCCCTTTCCAAACCCTGATGGTTGGATGCTTGTAAGGGGATCACGATCACCTATAAGCAATATGTCTGCTATCTTTTCACTCCCTTTTTTCCTTCCTTTCAGCCTCTGCTTCATGGTGCCCTCCGCCTGTGCTTTCTTCCCACAGCAATGCTCGTTGGACACCTCTACCATGCGCACCTTCGAGCCGGAACTCTATGAGGATATGAAGAAGAGAACCGAGGGAAATGTACCCAAGCGTGTCTACTTCAACAAGGGTCTGTAGGGACATGACATGACAAAGGACATTTCAACGGGGATGACAATAATTAGTCCATTGTGTAGTCGTTGTGGTTTCTTGTGTAGCATTTATTGTTTCAGATCGCGCAATATATTGCAAATTGTTCCTTGTGTCTCGTCTCAATAGCTGAAAGAGTAGTATTTAAGCTGAAAAAGTATCTCAACTACATAGCAAATGTATCTATCAGTCAATTCGTACTTAAATGGTATTACTTTCTGTGTATCTGGGGTGTGGGTTATTTTAGATCAATGATCCGTATTTGCAAAACTGTGCTGCTAACTAGTTCATAGCCTATAGAATTGTAAAGTTGTACCCGTACTATCCCGAGAATTCTCAGGCCCAACTAACCAGAAGAGCTGAGCGATACATCTGTCACCTCCCATGGTAGATGGTTCCTGACACAAAAGGGTCTCAGAATTCTCAGAACGGCGCACGGTATTAACTAATGGAGAAAGCCAGCTCAAATCAAATTAATTCGAATATTATAGAATTGGGAGTATTTCCTTTATTCCTTTAAAAAACTAGAATCTTTAATTGGCAAAACAATTTGCTGGTATCTCTGGCTTTTCTCAATAACCTATCCGAAGCAGAGGCAGCTTTTCCACTGACTTATGTATTTTTTAAAACTAATATACTCACGTGTTTTGTTCGATTAAGCGAAAAAGTGTTGAAATAAATGTTATCTAACGAAAATATAGATCACTAATGAAACTAGTGATACTTTTTGTACGGGTTTTAAAAACGGGTTTATTAATTATGTATCCTGTAAATATGTATATATAGTATATATATATCGTAATATATAACTTTTCGCGATTTCATTTATTGCAATCGTATCGGTTTGTTGTTTTCGGTTTTGTTTTTGTATCGTGTTGTAAAGTTTACAAAAATGTGCAAAACACAACTAATGTTTGTAGGTATCTATAGAATATAGAATATCTTTCCTTTTTGGGGGAGGACTGACTGACTCTCTCTCTCTCTCTCTCTCTTTCTCTTATTGTACGACTTTATTTATCGTTTAGGCTTCCGTTTCGTTTCGTTTACTTTACTTTTTAGTATTTCTTGGACATTCTCAAGGTACAATTTCGTTTTATCGTTAAATATACTCATTTAATCTAGGTTTTGTTTTCATTTCATTTTTTATTTTGTTGGCACTCTCTCTCTCGCTTAAAAATTCCTATTATTTCGGTTCTAAGTATTTGATGGAAAATTCTTCAACACTCAGAGATGTTTCAATATGTATGTTAAACTGTTTATCATAACAACAACAACAAAAACACCAAAAAAATTCCGAACAAACACACGCCCAAACAGCTGCCTGGCAGCACAAATTTTACCAAATTTCCAATTTGTAAAAAGTTATAATATTTCGTTTTATTTTATGAAATTTGTCACACGAATCAGCAAACATTTAATATATATGTATGTATTTTTTTTTATTTATTCTTATTTAGGGATTATTAAGTGGCAAAAACGTTCGGGGCTCTCAATCGTGTGCTCTTGGGGACTGGCTCGCTTGAAACAAGCGCTTTTCAATGCCGTTCAAAAGTGAATATTTTGTTGGCTTTGGTTTTTTGTCTATTTTCTATACTGACTGAGGCATTCAATGTCGCAATTGGCATTTAAATCTTGTTCAATGCTGCTTATTATATTTTCATTATTACCGCCATCGTTTTTTCGCACGGCGTTATGTTTGTTTTTAAGTGTTTGTGTGTGTGTGTGTATCTGTGTGTGTGTGTGTGTGTGTGGGAAAGCTCATTCAAAATCGTAGGGTTTTCCGCTGAAAAAAGTTTGGGGGGCTTATATGCTAGCTCGGCATCATCCTTCTCCTCCTCCAACAGGAACTTCGATCCGTATTTTAGCTGCCTCAACAAAATCGCAACGTTTTCTCGTTTCATTCCTGTACTTGGACCAGGGGGGGTTCCCCTGAACGTCAGACTGTTTTGCGATATAAATATTTCCAAGTGGAAACTGGAATGTGTGTTTTGTGGGTATGAGAGATCTGGTATCTTCTCGGACTCGACTTGTGCGAGATTCAATAATGCAATGCAATGCAATGTTTCTCTTTCTTATAAACTTTAGTATTCAAATCATTCCTATGTATAAATATATTTATATCATTTCGTAACAACCCATTCGCCGGCATTTGGACTAATTTCCTGAGCTTTCAATTTCAAATATTCCCATCTATTCCATCACTTACCATCTCCAATCTGCAACCCTCTTCAAATCAGTCAAACTTCAGCTAAAACTCTCTAACCAACTCTATTTTTTTGGCCATGTTTTCGTCTATCGAATCCTGCTCTTTTATCTCTGGTTTTTTTCCATCTATATTCGTCATATATTTTATTTGCTTTTGTTTGTTTTTTTTTATATATTGCGCACAGCCTTTTTTCGAAAAATGTCTGGATTATTTTTTTTGTTTAGTTTCCATTTATTTTGTGTTTTTTTTTTTGTTGTTAAACGTCACCTGATAAAATTTTGTACCAACATTGCCTGTCTGTGGGGAAAAACAGCCGACCTACCACTATATCTATATATATCCTAAATATATATTTAACAAACCATTCCTTATCCTTCCTATTCGCTGTTTTCCAACAATAACATTTCTTTATTTTTATTTTTTGTTTGTTTGTTTAGAATATCATTTGCTTCTTTGTCTTACGATCTAGAATATGGGATTTACCTTTTCTCTGTTCTGCAGCAGCCTGTGCAACCATCCCCTTCAGACCCTTGGCAATTTATGGGGTAGGGGGTTTTCTCCTTTTGTGGAGGTTTATGTTTTTTTCCTTTTCTTTTATATCTTTTTGTGTTGTGCAAATTTGTTGTTTGTATTTTATTTTCTTTTTCTTCGTTTTAGTTGGTTTTTGTATTTATATTTTTGTTTTTGTTTGCTTCAATTTTAAAAATTCTTCTTCGATATTCGGGATTTTTAGTTTACTTTCAACTTAAATATGACTTGGCATTCAATAGTTACATACACATATGATAGATATATCTATATGTATTACTTATATATGTATATTAGTGATGGGAAGGGGGGGTTCCATTGTGTATAACAGTTTCACATTTACATATACATATAAACGACGTTCGAGTTTTCTTTTCTTTTTTTTAGTACATTTTACATTTAAAAATTACAAATAAAACTACGCGTCCACAGCAACAAAATAAACCAAAAAAAAAAAAAAAAAAATACCATTCAATATTACATTTAGTTTTTTCCATTAGCTTTTTGCTTTCTTTTTTTGTTTTTTGTGTGTGTTTTTTTTTTGTGGTTTTCGCTCCCATATAATATTATTATTATTATTATTATTCTTTTGACTTGGCTTAGGAGTTAAATACAAACATGTACAATGGGGTGGGGGTGGGGTGTATAGTATACATATATAAATATATTTTATATATTTTTTACTCTTTCTGTGTGTCTGTGTTTGTGTGTGTGTTGTGTGGATAACATTGGATTTTGTTTGTTTGTTGCAAGACATTATTTTTCTGCATTTAGACCTTAGAAATGTACCAAATATTAAATTTATTATTAATATATACGTATATTATTAATATTAATTCTAGTTATTTTTTATGGGTATTCTTTCACTTGGATGCTTCAATGTCGTCAAAGACGGGGAGATATTCTTTGTTTTTATTTCGTATCCAAGTGGCATTTGAAGGAGTTTACCCCCATTTATATAGGCTGCTCATATGTATGTGTTTGTAGGTGTGTGTGTGTGTGTGTGTAGGAAAACGCTTTGTCTATTTTCTTTTCGTCAAGAACGCATCCTAGAACGCATTCCCATTAGGAGCAGCATCTTGTGCAGCATCTTGTTCCTCCTGTAGCTGCTCCTCGTCGGCCATCATTTCCAGCTGCATCTGATCGTCCCGCTGCACCACCTCCACCACAGACACCGCCTCCGCGGTGGTTGTGGTCGATGTGGATGAGCTGGTGGTGCTGGCCGGCGACATGTTGTCGCTGGCCGACAGGTAGATGCAGCATGGCGGTGGCGATGTGGCTGCAACGGCTCCTGCTCCTGCTCCTGCTCCTCCTAATAGGATCTCCTGACTTGGCGGCAGCACAAAACTCTTCCCACCCAGCAGCTGGTCTCATTTGAGACCCGTGTCCGAGGATGGTGTCCAGCGATCAAACTCAATGCCCGAGTCCGGCGATACACCAGTGGCCTTGGCCAAATGGGCAGCCATAAAGCCGCCGGTCTGCATGCACTTGCAGTCGGCAGCAATGCAGTTGCACGAGAACTTGGAGCCGCGACCGCCGCAACGGGAGGCAACCACACTGGGATTGGCCATCAATACCGAATTCGAGACAGAGCTGCCAACGGGAGCCAGGCCCAAGCCGACCGGGGGTCCCCCCATGCCACCCATCATGCCGCCACAGTTGCCCTCGTCCATGGGCTGGCCATCGCCAGGACTGAGTCGCAGCTGACTTTCAAAGGACTGCAGCTGCTGCATGAAATGGAAATTGGGCGAGACATCCGGCTTCCTGTCGCGCACCATCATGAAGGCGTCGTTGAGGCTGAGGCCGCGCGTGTGCATCAAATAGGCGAGCGTCACGGTCACCGAGCGCGAAACGCCAGCCAGGCAGTGGACCAGCACCGCCGAGTTCGCAGAGCGCGCTTCCTCTATGGAGATGGAACAGAAGATTAGCTCCAGATAGCTCTAGATCGGTTGGGATGGATCGGCTTACCTATAAACTGTATGGCATCTGGGAAATGCATGGCCAAGTCCTGTGAATAGTGATCGGTAATCGGTATTTGCAGATACTTGATGATGCCCGATTTTTCAAACTCGTTTGGCAAATCCGGTGTCACGTTCAACACATACTGAAAGAGAGAGGATCGTTTGAAGAGGGCTGGCTGCCTGACCATCCTGTGGGACTCACTCACCTTAATGTTGTACTTTTGCAATGCCTTCGAGTCGCCGCTGTGGGTGACATTGCCCAGGAACAGAAGGCCTGGTATTATCTCCACGGGCGCCTCATTATAGCTATGATGATGATGATGATGGTGATGATGATGATGGGTGGTGCTCTCACAGTCCGAGGACTCGGCCGAACTGCTGCAGGCGGAATCGGAATGCGGTGTGGAAATGCGCAGGGATCTAAACGGAATTGAATGGATTGAATGGGTGGTTAGTCCGCGACTTCTGCGAATTCTAGATGAGTTCGGGACCTACCTGAGGCCCATTAACTGATCGGTCTGGACATTGCGACTAGATTCCATCTCTTTGTTCTGCGCCTGGCTGTCATCCTCGCACCATTCCGGAAATGCTAAGCGAAAACTGGAAAAGCCATCTGAAACAGAAAGAGAAAGAGCGATTGAGAAATGGTTGAGAAACTTTAGAATGTGCCTCGCTCCCCCTGGGGGCAGGGCATTCCTCTTTTGGGTTTGTCGTTATGTTGTTTTGTCATATGAGAGGCCATCCTCTGGAATGCCCGACGTTCGTTATGCTTGGCCAAGTGTGGCGCGGTTTTGGATCTTTGGTAAGACAACACCTTCTCCACCACATGTTGCAGCTATTAACCCCCACTCCCCACTCCCCACCCCCACTGGTCCGCCCCTCGCTCAAGTATGCGTGAAATTCTTGCAAGCGAATCGTCCATTCATAAAAAGAAAACCAGCCACAAGAAAGGGGAGGAGGAGAGCATTCGTGTCTCTTTTTCCCCCTCTCTCTATCTCTTTCTGCAATTGGAAACGGAAGTGCGACGACTATGGCCATATCGAACGGAAGTGTAGTGCTGCCTGCCGCCTGCCGCCTTTTGTGTGTTTGGTCTGGGAATCGTCATCCGCGCAGCAGGCAGCAGTATAATAGAAACCGGAAGTCCACAATTTTCTACTTGCTGCATATTAAATGCGAAATCGCAAATTGATGAGGAAGTCGTGCACCAGGCACAAGGCACAAGACACAAGGGAAATGGAAATGGAAATACCAACAGTTTTTCATCAGTTATCTTGGCGCAGGCCGTGCAACGGGTGGTATACGCACTGGAAACTTGCAACTGCAACTGCGAGACTTTTAAAAATAGCTCAAGATACGGCACGGCATACGAGGCATTAAAGGAACGTGATAGGAGGATAAGCGGTGGCGGGGGCGGGGGCGGGGGCGTGGGCCGGGCGGCGAGGGTGGACTGCTGCCATGGCCATGGGAATATCAATCCACTCGGCCCTCTGACAGGCACAAACTGCATTTGAAAGCAATTTCCTGCTCAAACAACTCCTCTGTGCTGCAGTTCCCCTGAATGGCTGAAAGGTTCCATCATATTGTGGATGGATGTCTGTGTGTGCCTGTCTGTGGTATGTGGGTGTGCGTGTGTGTGTGTGTGTGGGGGGGAGGAAGTCGACCTTGGCAATGAAACCTTCTGATATCGCTATTAGAAAAGTTAATTAATATCCTTGATTGACCGTTTTCCTCTTGTCTGGAATCTTTGACGGAAAAATCAATAAAATAAAGTGGAATATTAAACAGATTTCCTTTAAATCGATGGGTTTCTAGGGCACATTTAGGTTTCTATGGTAATGCTTTTAGTACTGAGATCCATGAAAGATCCCGCACAAAAAGTATCCAAATTCTCTACCAAAAGTTTCTTCTTCCACAGACATAGGTGGGATCCATCTCTATCCCTATCCCGCAACCGTAACCGTAACCCCCGCCCATTAGATCACTACCTCTGCCGCTCTACCGCTCTATAGGAAACTTTCCCCACTGTAAAACCCAAACAATCATCCTATCATATCATATCATATCATATAGATACCCATATGGCAATTGTTTCCCCCATCTTCTCCCGCCACTCCTCCTCCTCCACGACTCCACGTTTATGCCCTCATATGGCTTATATATAAACAGAGATACTATATATCAGTGTGTGTGTGTGTTTTTTTTTTGTGTGACACTTGTGAGTGGCTTTTGTGTGTTTGGGATTGTTTCATTGATGAGTTCACATCACACACACAAATGGGCAAAAAGAGCGAAACAAAACCACAGAAACACACAGTGCAAAACGACCTTCAAAACGTTTGAAAACAACAAAAACAACACAAAACTTGTAAACTTGAAAAAAGCTCAACAAAGCGTAAACCGAAAAGGGGCTTTTGGAATACAGATTTGTACATATTTCATATTTGTTTCTGAAAACCGGATTTCGGCATCTCCACCCAACACACACACACACACACCTGAGCGGAGCACACACAAACAGTATTGTAGATACTCAGCCACCCACAAAAGTCTCAGCTCATCTCTCCCAGCCTCGCCCACAATGTCACCAATTTGTTTTAGCTATTGTTGATAATTATTACCTACATACAATATTTATAGAAAAAAAAATAAACCAGTGAGAGCTCTTTCGAAATGGTCGAAGCCGGGGATACACTTCAAAGACAACGGAGAAAATATATTTGAAAAGTTCTTCGATTCTTGATGGATTTTTTTATATTTTATGTATTTTTTTCCTATAAAACTGTTTTTCTCTTTCAGGATGGTCTTTCTATGGTGATCCAACATGGACACAATTTTTTCTAGGGCAAAACTTGCCAGGTAAATACTAGAAAAATACCTGAAAAATACCATTTCCCAACTAATATTTCTAGGTGAAAATTCCACTTAAATACTGGATATATACCAGAAAATAAAACAATTATAACATAAAAGAACTGTAGAATGGCCAGAACAAACCAGAAAAATACAATTTCCCAATTGAAATTTCACATTTTACCCAAAAATATTAGAAAATACTGTAAAATACTATACAAAATACCGGAAAATGTTATAAAATTGCCAGAATTGCCTATTCCTCGAGGAAATGTACCATACAGATGTCCTGTACATCTGTATGTATATAAATTGATCAGCAATTCCTTGGTTTCGCCTTCTGTCTTCCCCGGAAAGGGTATCCAAAGGTTATACACACAATGAAAAAGAAAACAAAACGCTGTAGAGTAACGATACGTTTTTTCCACCGCAGTTTCATCGTTGAACGATTTGAGCCACGGCTCATTCATTGTTTTTCTGCTTCTGCTGCTGCTGCCGCTACGGGCACTCATTTATTTGTTTGTTTTTAATTATATAGTATAGATACTCTTTTTGTTGTTTTTACTTTTCACTTCACGGGGACTCTTATCTGCAACTCCCCCCCAACCTTCCCGCCCCCCCACGCTCTTTTCGCTTCGTTTATCAAAAACAACAACAGCAAAAAGAGCAAAGGCAAAACGTGAGTTAAATAACTTTTGGCTCACTTCTCGCTGGGTATACACGCAGATACAGATACAGATACACACACACACCCACACCCACACAGAAAGCTCTATTCATTCACAGGTACCACACTTCAGGCCCCCTCCCCCCATACCCCTATTATACATACATACATATGCCCCCCCCTTTAGCTGACCAAAACCAACGGATATGACGTAGGCGTGCGCGTTGCTTCTTTCTTTTTTGTTTTTGTTGCTCCCAACCTTCTCTCTATTTTGCCGCATAAAAACAGTTAGCCAAGTGGTTCAAAGATGCGTTAAGAGAGGTGGTGGGGGTATAAAGAGAACCCTTATATGGTTTACCCCATTCTGAGGGCGTTTGTTTTTTGTTTTTGTTTTGTTTTTTGTGGCTTAGATGACGCAGATTCCTTAAGGGGAATACACGACACGCCCACGCGCACGCCAGATGCAGGGAATCCAAAACCTCGAAAAACAGAACCCACCCGTCGCAGCCCCCCGACACACCCACCGACACGTACATACGTCCGTGTGGGCCCCCATTGATGGATTCCATGGAAAAAACACAACAGAAACAGAAACAGAAACCGAAACAGAAACCGGAAGCCCCAACAGCAACGGCACACATGCATGAAGCTAAACACATGACACAAAGCAATCAACCATTGAACACATTTCCACATTTTCACATTTCCACATTAACATTTCTATATTTATAGATTTGTTTAAACAGATTCCAAAGTTCTCCAGGGAGAGAGCGGACGGATGTTCTGTTCTTCGATGTGGAAACTGACGAAGTCTGAAGCCTGAAGCCCGAAGCCTGCTTTAGACAGGCTATAATATCATATCCTTATTATCCTTGAATGAACACAAGCATTCATTTCTTTCAGAAAACTTTTTCCTGGCATTTGTCTACCGTGTTTTCTTCATATATGTATTTCTGTTCTGTTACTTTTCTAGTATTTTCTGGTATTTTTCCTCAAGCTTATTCTGCAGTGCCAGGACACCAGTACATAATTTGTCATAGTTTTTAACTGGTTTCCCATCTACGAGTATAATCTTCTGTTTTTCTCCAAAAAGGAACGGAAATTCTTTGTATTACATATTCTTTTCAGGAATTTTCAATGGCTTGTCCATTCATTTTCCATATAAATATATATGTATAAAAACTCCCAAATATTTCATATGATTTTCGTAATCTCTGTTCTTTTTGGATTATTTTCCCGGCCACATTCATTTTACATTTTATCACATTTTTCGAATCTCTGCCCCAAGTCGAATAATTCCTTTTTAATCACTCACGCCATCCAGCACTCAAAAATTCCCTTCCGCCCCACACAATATTTTCCCCTTTTGTGTGTGTGTGTATGTGTGTGTGTATGTGGACTTTTCAGCTCAGTTTTTCTTTTTTGTTGAAGTTTTGAAATGTTGTTTGTCATAGGGATTTCGAAAAGTATACAAAAATGAGACAGGATGGGGAGGGAGGGAGGAAAGTTGAGGAAATCAATATTACGCATACGCATGGTGTGGCAGGGCAGGGCAGGGGAGAAAATGTGTAGACTCTTGTGGGTCTCTGGCAAATGCATTCCGGCCGTGCATTACACAATGACAGATACAGATACTATAAATACATATACAAATACACGTATGTGTGGAAGGGAGCAAATGGGGTGTCCGGAATGGGGCCTCTGCTGCCGCTGGCTCATGAATGAAAAACCAGACCATACCGGGAACGACAGCGACGACGACAACGTCCGCCTGCAGTTCAATGATATTTGTCAATGAGTCAGTAGTCGTCGTCGTCGCCGGCGTTGTCCGTCCGTACAGACACAATTCCCGGGTCTCAAAGATGGAACTCGAAAGGGGGGGAGAAAAAGAGTCATAAAAATACGTACAATACACAGAGAAATATTCTGTGGCCCCATATCCATTAGCCATATGCATATACCAAAACCGCCTACCCCCCACCCACCGACAACAACATGGCCCCAATTTTGTTTACATTTCTCATCTTCACCCCCCCATCCCACACGAAAAAAAAAAAAAAAAAAACAACTACTTTTTATGCCTCTTCTTTTGCTTA